TGTTCGTGAAACGAATAAAGTACCAAATGAGAGCCCAAACACAGAGGGTCGTGTGGCTCCAATTAACCGACTGCAACATTGTAGCAATCAGCGGGTAATTGCTTTCCTGGGTGGCCGTCGTTCGGCTACCGACCACGCGGCGGTCGGCCATCATGAATCCTTTGTTATCCCAGCAGTGTTTGGTCGTCAGCCATCATAGATCCTTTGTTATCCCGTGAGGCGTTCGGTTATTTATGCTGGGATCTGAGCGGTACTTTTACAAAGTGTGCGCTCAGACCCCAGCTATCTACCGAACGGTCATTAAGTATAATCACACGAATAATATTAAAGTTATGTATTTTTGTCCGGTTCTGATGTACGGAAGGATAATTCACTTAACAGTATATTCTAGTGGGAGTGTCCCTCTCGTAGAGCAGTGCATGGTGGGAGAAATGTCCTGTATATTCAGTTCCCCATGTAGTCCTCTACTGTATAACCCCTGTAAAGTGACTAAGGAAACCCCTTGCATGAGGAACCACATAAATACTGTGACCTGTGAATAAAATCGTCAGTTGACTCCCGGAACTGTGTTTTGTCCGGTTACTGGGGGATTTGGGATATTGCCTTAATTTCCAGCGCTTTACTTGGATTACTTTCTGTACCAGCGGAGATATTGGGATTTAACATTGCAGCTCTGCTACAATTGGTGGCAAGCAACGGGATCCAACCTTACAGCCAAAAAGCGGTGTTCGGGTAATTGAAACTACCGAACAGGAAAGTGAATGGCAATTTGTATGCAACAAATAACCGAACACAGAGGTGAATGGAGACAAATTACACTGCATTGAAACGGCAGACGTTAAACGAACTACTGGAAGCCAGGGGTAAGATAGCCAACAATAAGTCAAAAGCTGTGCTTATTGCCGAACTGATGGAGGGAGACAGAGCTCGCAGCGTTACACCCCCACCAGCCATGGAAGAGACACCCTTCCAGAAAGAAATGAGAACCAGGATGGAATTCCTACCCCAGCCAGTACCACTGGAAATACTGACAGTGCTGATTGTGAATGTGCAGGAGTATGTGATGGCACACAGACCACAAGAATCACCCTCGAGAGCATCTTCAATCCTCAGCCAGGTAAAGCCCAAGATACCACATCATGCTTTTAAAATGTTTTGCGAAGACAAAGATGACATTGATGGGTATCTACAAGACTTTGAGAGGCTATGTGACCTGCATATCTGGAGCAGGCAGTGTCGGTACCCTTACTGGCAGGCAAACTGTCAGGTCGAGCAGCAGAAGCCTATCGGGCCATACCCAGAGAGGACAGCAAAGATTATGCCAGGGTAAAACAGGCTATACTAGAGAGATACGCCATTACCCCGGAGGCAGACCGGCGAAAGTTTTGAGGGTTAAACATAGAATGTGACGGCAGATAAGAACCATTCGGCCCATCTAGTCTGCCCAATTTTCTAAATACTTTCATTAGTCCCTAGTCTTATCTTATAGTTAGGATAGCCTTATGCCTATCCCACGCATGCTTAAACTCCTTTACTGTGTTAACCTCTACCACTTCAGCTGGAAGGCTATTCCATGCATCCACTACCCTCTCAGTAAAGTAATACTTCCTGATATTATTTTTAAACCTTTGTCCCTCTAATTTAAGACTATGTCCTCTTGTTGTGGTAGTTTTTCTTCTTTTAAATATAGTCTCCTCCTTTACTGTGTTGATTCCCTTTATATATTTAAATGTTTCTATCATATCCCCCCTGTCTCGTCTTTCCTCCAAGCTATACATGTTAAGATCCTTTAACCTTTCCTGGTAAGTTTTATCCCGCAATCCATGAACCAGTTTAGTAGCCCTTCTCTGAACCCTCTCTAAGGCATCAATATCCTTCTGAAGATACGGTCTCCAGTACTGTGTACAATACTCCAAGTGAGGTCTCACCAGTGTTCTGTACAATGGCATGAGCACTTCCCTCTTTCTACTGCTAATACCTCTCCCTATACAACCAAGCATTCTGCTAGCATTTCCTGCTGCTCTATTACATTGTCTGCCTACCTTTAAGTCATCAGAAATAATCCCCTAAATCCCTTTCCTCATATGTTGAGGTTAGGACTCTATCAAATATTCTGTACTCTGCCCTTGGGTTTTTACGTCCAAGATGCATTATCTTGCACTTATCCACATTAAATGTCAGCTGCCACAATTCTGACCATTTTTCTAGTTTACCTAAATCATTTGCCATTTGGCTTATCCCTCCTGGAACATCAACCCTGTTACATATCTTAGTATCATCAGCAAAAAGACATACCTTACCATCAAGACCTTCTGCAATATCACTAATAAAAATATTAAAGAGAATGGGTCCAAGTACAGATCCCTGAGGTACCCCACTGGTGACAAGTCCAAGCTTGAATATATTCCATTGACTACAACCCTCTGTTGCCTGTCACTCAGCCACTGCCTTACCCATTCAACAATATTGGAATCCAAACTTAAAGATTGCAGTTTATTGATAAGCCTTCTATGTGCAACAGTGTCAAAAGCCTTACTGAAATCTAGGTAAGCAATGTCTACTGCACCACCCTGATCTATTATTTTAGTTACCCAATCAAAAAAAAATCAATAAGATTAGTTTGGCATGATCTCCCTGAAGTAAACCCATGTTGTCTCTGATCTTGAAATCCATGTGTTTTTAGATGTTCAACAATCCTATCCTTTAACATGGTTTCCATCACTTTCCCCACTACTGAAGTAAGGCTTACTGGCCTATAGTTGCCAGACTCCTCCCTATTACCTTTCTTGTAAATGGGCACAACATTCGCTAACTTCCAATCTTATGGGACTACTCCTGTTAACAATGATTGGTTAAATAAATCTGTTAATGGTTTTGCTAGTACACCACTAAGCTCTTTTAATAGCTTTGGGTGTATTCCATCAGGTCCCATTGACTTATTTGTCTTTACTTTTGACAGTTGAACTAGAACCTCTTCCTCTGTAAACTCACGTGTAATAAATGACTCATTTATCCTTTTTCTCAACTGAGGTCCCTTTCCTTCATTTTCTTCTGTAAATACAGAACAAAAATATTCATTGAGGCAGTCAGCCTGACCTTTATCATCTTCTACATACCTTCCTTCTTTTGTTTTTAATCTAACTAATCCTTGTTTTACTTTTCTTTTCTCATTTATGTATCTAAAAAATGTTTTATCCCCCTTTTTTACTGACTGTGCTATTTTCTCTTCTGTGTGTGATTTGGAAGCTCTTATAACTTGCTTAGCCTCTTTCTGCCTAATCTTATAGATCATTTTGTTTCCCTCACTCTGGGTTTTTTTATAATTCCTAAATGCTAACTTTTTGTTTTTAACTATTTTGGCCACATCTACGGAGTACCACAGTGGTTTCTTGAATTTTTTGCTTTTACTGACAAGCCTAATGCAATTTTCTGTTGCCTTCAATAGTGCAACTTTTAAATAATCCCATTTTTCTTGGACTCCATTTAAATTGCTCCAGTCTGATAATGACTCCTCTACCCATATTCTAATTTTAGAAAAGTCTGTTTTTCTAAAGTCTAAAACTTTAGTTTTTGTGTGGTGTGACTAAGTCACTGTTCTTATATTAAACCACAATGACTGATGATCACTGGATCCTAAACTTTCACCTACAGTAACATCTGATACCAAATCTCCATTTGTTAATACTAAATCTAGTATGGCCTCTTTACGAGTTGGCTCCTCAACAACTTGTTTTAGAGACAATCCCAGTAGGGAGTTTAGAATATGTGTGCTCCTGGCACAAGTAGCTAATTTTGTTTTCCAATTTACATCAGGAAGATTAAAGTCACCCATGATGATAACTTCCCCTTCATTGTCATTTTAGCTATTTCCTCAACTAGTAGATTATCTAACTCTTCAATTTGTCCTGGGAGCCTATAAATCACACCTACACAAGTTACTGTGTGATTACCAAATTCTAACGTAACCCAAACAGACTCTATGTTCGCCTCACTAACTTTTATTAGGCTAGATTTTATGCTATCCTTCACATACAAGGCCACCCTCCCCCTTTCTTGCCTTCCCTATCTTTCCTATATAAAGAGTACCCTGGTATTGCTATGTCCCAGTCATTTTTCTCATTGTACCATGTCTCAGTAACAGCGACTAAATCTACACTATCAGTTGCCATTATTGCCTAAACTGCGAGCATTTGTAGACATGACTCTAAGCTTATCATTTTTTAACACACTTGCTACAGGCACCTTCTGTCCTTCTTTTGGGGGACAATTGGATTGATGTTTTATCACCCTTTTGCCCCCCCTCCTAGTTTAAATACATCCTAGCAAAACCTCTGAACTGCTCACTGAGAACATTTGTTCCCCTTTGAGAAAGATGCAAACCATCTTTTTTGTACAGCTTATTTCCATTCCAAACAGAGCTACCATGAGAAATAAAGCCAAATCCTTGCTCCCGACACCATTCACCAAGCCACAAATTAAAGTCCCTAATACGCATCCGCCTGTCGCTCTGAGTGTTATGCACAGGCAGAACTTCAGAGAATGACAGTGTGGAAGCAACCTGCCGTATATCATTGGCAAAAACACTAAAAACTTCCTTAACCTCTGAAACCTCATTGCAAGCCAAGTCATTTGTCCCTAGATGGACAAGTACATCCAATTCCCCTTCCTGCTTTGCTTGCTTAACAATATTACAGATAAGTCTCCTGTCTCTGTGAGCAGTAGCTCCGGGAAGACACCTCACAAGACCACCATTGTCCATCTCCACACCTCTTATAATGGAATCCCCAACAACAACTGCTTTCTATTAGGCCTCACCATAGTCTCCAAGCCGGTCTCCACAACACCACTAGTCTCAGTGCCTCTCTCCACAA